TTTCCTGAATTCCTTCTCAGGCATTTCCAAAGCCTGCCCATCTTCCAGTATGGAGTGTAGGTCTACTTCCAGCTCATTTGCCTCAGTCACTTTATCTTATTTCTGGATTTGTGCAGATATGGTCATCTGCTTCTATTTTTTGGGCATATTTAGGGGTTATCTGTGGCCTTAATACATAGATGGGTGTGTATTTTGGTATTTTTTTATTCTTTCTGATTTTCTCTAAGTAGATGTGATCAGGAAATTGGCTTCCCTTTTCACTCTTCTTCTTGAGAAATTTCAAGATGGCACTTTTGGTCGTTTTGACATAAGTTAGGATTTAATTTTTGGCCTATTTGCTTTTCTGTCTGCCTGTCCCACTCCACAATCCCTGTTCAGGCCTTTTTTCTACTTATAAACAGTTAAGGGCCGCATGTAGTCATTTGGCTTTAAGTGGAAGCTGTCTTTTTAAATTTCAAGTAGATCTGTGCTCATGCGTAGTAGAACCCTCCAAGGGTGGGGAAGGGGTGTCCACTAGCTCAGGCACCCCTATAGTCATCAGAATGGAGGTGCATAGATATCAAGGGACCAATGAACAGCTACCAAAAGAAAAGAATGTCCACACCTGGATCTCATTGGTTCTGTCAGGCGTCCGTGACTGCTCTGATCCTTGCCCTACTTGGTGTCACCCAATATGACGGCTCCTGGGAGCAGCTGAGCATCTTGAAGTAGAAAGCACTGGATTTCTTGTTTCTGCTACAAATTCCCCTAGCTGTAAGCCTTCCAACATTCTAAATATTCCTTTATATGTGGTTCAGATTTCTGGGACCATCCCCTGAGACTGCTTGGTCCTGTATTCTGTATTGTTGCTGATGGAGCTCCTTGCTGCACTAAGATTCCGATCTGCCATCTTGTTTGTTTTTTCTGTACTTTTTTTTTTAAGTCTTCTTTTTTAAGACATATAGTTAATTCTATATTTCTGTGTTTTGCAAATGAGCAATTGTTATTGTTAAGTGCTGTCAAGTTAACTCATACAATCCTGAGACTTTTTAAAACTTTTTGGAGCAGAAAGTCTCATCTTTCTCTTGCAAAGAAATTCGACAATTAATTGCCAAGAAAATACCAGGTCCTGCATGTTTTCTTTTGCTATTCACATGCACAAAAGGCTTGCCATTTATTCAGACAGAAGTTTTGGTCTTGTAATTTAATATTCTTAACAGATACCAATCGTTCTTAGTTGTTGTTTTAGTATTTTGTTGTGCTATATGAACAAGATAGTTCATACAACAAATAGGTTACCATTTAACAGTTTTATACAGATTATTCTGTGACATTTAGTTTCAGTTTTTGCAATTTGTCAGCATTCTCATTTACTTCCATTCTGTTTGTTCTGTGTCCATTGAAACTTCCTAATCTCCTTTGCTTTGGAGTAAATGTTGACCATTTGGTCCTATGTAGTTGTTTGTTTGGAGTCCTAGTGGAAGATAAAAGCACTGGACCTCAAGGTTGGTTTGAACCACAAGGTCAGCGGTTCAAACTCACCAACCACTCCTTGGAAACCCTATACAGGGTTGCTATGAGTCTGAACCAACTCGATGGCACTTAACAGCAACAACAGTTGTTTGTTTAAGGGAACATATTCTTCATGGGTGATAATGTTTATTTTATGGAATCGCTTATTATTATAAGGTAACCTTTGGGAGTAGCTTAGGGCATTTTAGGGTGATATTGTCAGGAGTTCCTGTAATCTCTTTCAGTCCAATAAATCTGATCCATTTTAGGAATTTGAATTTTGTTCTAGATTTTTCTATATTCTATCCAGGACTTTCGAGTTTCTCGGGTCATAAATAATGATCAGTAGTTGTAGTCAAGCACCATCTATTTCTTCAAGTCTCAGGCTAGACAAAACTGTGCTTTATGAAGACTATTAGTCCTGTGGATTGGTTTCTTCTTTGAGTCTTTGGCCTCCTTCATTCTCTTTTGCTCTGCATGGGATGAGACCAGTATACCTTTATAATCTTTTCTTAGCAATATAGATGTACTAAACCTAGATACTTCTTATGGATAATCTTTCCCTTTGAACAACCAACTTTTTTTTTTCTTTTATGAAAAATTATTACAGACAAAATAATTAATAGGTCGAAATTATAAACAAAATTCAGAAATTTTGTAGGCTTACTGTACATTTAATACTTACTAATTTTGTCGTAGCATTTAAAATGAATTTAAGTTAATAAGATGCTGTGAATATTTTTCTGTTATGTATGCAGTATAATGATGCTGTTATATTTTACATTTTCTTAAATTCTATAATTTTATTTAAAAACTTTACTGAAAAAGTCTTTATTTTAAGATATTTTCAGTGTGTTTTTGTTCTTATTTCTTTGTTTTAGATCATGTGTAAAATGGCTCCCATGGTTGGGAAAGACATTAGCGAGCGTCTTATCCTCCCTAGGTTTTGCGAGATGTGCTGTGATTGCAGAATGTTTCACGTTCGAAAGGTATTTTTTTGTAGTCAGATTTTTTTGTTTAAAAACATAGGGTTGTAGTGGTTAATGTACTGATATGTAGCATTTAAAAGATTATTTTAAAATAAATCTATACTTCATATTTTTGAAATGTCTGTGATTTTTTTTTTAGGTCTGTGCTGCCAATTTTGGGGATATTTGCAGTGTAGTTGGCCAGCAAGCTACTGAGGAAATGTTGGTAAGTATTCACATACAAAGGAGTGAGCAGTGCATTGCAAAGTAGTACAAGAAGTTTGAATTGTATATTCACTTCAAAATTTTATTAGTACAGTCCTATAAATATAAACCACAAAGATTACATGATTTTACGTTTAGGAGTTTAACAATTTATAATCTGGGTGTTTTTTATTTTTGTCTTGATTAGAACCATTTATTAAGAATGTAGTTATATATAAGAACCTTTTGACCCATTTTACCTCCTTGCACTTCTATGAAACAGATTCTTTCTTATTCAATTGATCTAACTTTTATTGTGATCCTCACAGTACAATGGGGATTCAAAAAGTTTTTTGAATTCCTATTGCACTTTAATATCTTACCTGTTATATATATGTTTGATGTACAAGTTAATGTACTTGAAAAGTTTCTGAACCATCTGTATACAAAACAAATTAAAACCAAGTCTTTGATAACATACAAGCTATTTTTGTTGAGGGTGTTTTTTCTTTTGCATATTCATTTTTATTGTCAATTTGGTGTGATTTATATAACACTGTTGAATCTTAATATTAACTAGACCATTTATTTGTTAATAAAATGTAATATTTTAAAACATTATGAATGCAGGTAAAAGTCGTTGTTGGTTCAGAGAAGCAGCGATACCAGAGAAGGAGGTAGAGATGGGGACATGGAGAGAGGGAGCAGCTGAGGACTCTAGATTCATGGGAAGTGAGGGACTAAGACATGGTGGCCAAGAGGCACACTTTGCAGAATATGCCTTTGGTGGTGAAAATTACTATATATGCCTGAGTGTTTTTTATTTTAAAAGGTAAAGCTAATACAGAGAAACACTGGTAACTGATGGTACATGGAGGGAATTATAACCCTTGTAATGAAACAAGGTGTATGATTTGTTGAATGTAAAACTGATGATCTGCCCTGTAAACTTGTACTAAATCCACAACAAAAACCTTAAAAAGAAAAAGTAGTTGTTGGAACATACTTTATTTATCTAAAATATCCTTGTCTTTTTTGCATAGTTGCCCAGGTTTTTCCAGCTTTGTTCTGACAATGTATGGGGAGTGCGGAAGGCTTGTGCTGAATGCTTTATGGCAGTTTCATGTGCAACATGTCAAGAAATTCGACGGACTAAATTGTCAGCACTATTTATTAATTTGATCAGTGATCCCTCACGTTGGGTAAGGTTTTGTGTATTATATTTGTAAAATATACATGTGAGTCTGTTTAAAAGTAAATATGATTTTTAAATAATGTAAGAAATGGGTTGCATTTAATTTTTGTTTGTACTTCCATGGTGTAGCACTGTAGGTTGAGCACTGGACTGCTAACCACAAGTTTGGCAGTTCAAACCTACCAGTTGCTCTTGGAAATCCTGTATGGCATAGCTATGAGTCAAACCGACTCTACAATACAGGACAACAATAAGAGTACACATTAGAAATACTCATATATTAACAGTTAATGTTTTTGACTGGGCAGTGTTTATTTTACAAATATAAATCATGTTCATTTTTGTTCATACATATAATGTGTATTACATTAATTAATTTTCAGATATTAAGCTAACATTGCATTCTTGGGATATATAAATCCCACTTGATTTTGATATGTATTTCTTTTAATATGTTGCTGGATTTGCTAGTGTTTTATTGAGAATTTTTGCATCCATATTCATAAAAAATACTGGTCTATAGTCCTGGTGTGGTGCTGTAGGATAATGCACTGAACCACAAAGGTCGGTGGTTCAAACTCACCAGCCACTACCTGGAAACCCTATACAGGGTTGCTATGAGTTGGAACTGATTTGATGGCACTTAACAATAACAACAGCACTGTTTAATAGAAGGAGCCCAGGTGACACAGTGGCTAAAAGTGTTTAAGCTAAAGATTAGTGGTTCAGTCCCATCAGTCTACTCCAAAAAGATGTGGCAGTCTGCTTCCATGAACATTACAGCTTTGGAAATCCTATGTATCAGTTACACTCTGTCTTATAGGGTTGCTGTGAGTCGTAATTGGCTCCATGGTACTTAACAACAAAAACAATACTGAATGTTGATAGATTAAAAAATAATGCAAACTGTCAAACCAAACCAAACTCAAGCCCACAGCCATTGCTTTGATTCTGATTTATGGTGCCCCTATAGAGCAGAGATGGAAACCGAGGAGCAACTGGTGGGCTTGAACTGTTGACCTCATGGTTCACTGTGCAGTGCTGATAATACAGCGCCACACCATGTTGTTGTTGTTGTTGTTGTTGTTAAGTGCCGTTGAGTTGGTTCTGACTCATAGCAACTCTGTGTAGGGTTTCCAAGGAGCGGCTGGTGAGTTTGAACCACCGACGTTGTGGTTCAAACCAACCTTGCAGTTGAGAACTTACCCTACAAGGCCACACCAAGACTCCCTACACCATTCACATAGTGAGATTTATATTGACCTTTTACCTTTCACTTTTTACGTCTTTTTCATTCCTCTGTTCCTCTTTAACTGCTTTTTTCTTCTCTTGTACTGAATAACTTTTTTTTTAAATGTAGCCTTTTAATTTCTCTAATAATTTTCTCAGTGCTTTATGAGGTTTTTGGTTTTTTTGTAGTGGTTGCTCTAGGTTTTACTATATACTTTTAAAAAAAAAATGTTTTATTATGGATTATGCGATAGTTTACATGGGAGAACATTAGTTTTTTTTTTTTTTCCTTTTATTGTGTGATAGTTTACATGTGGGAACATTAGCTTTACACTCATTCTATCATACATTGTTTCATTGCCATAGTTACCATCCCGTCCATGCATCATCACCCAACCAAAGGTTATACCCCTGCAGGCCCCCTCTCTCTCCCCACAGTCCTCAGCACATAGCTCCCTTCCCTCCCTGGATCTCAAGTCTTCAGCCATTCCATCTCTTCATGTCGACCTCTCTGTCTCCATCTCAGGCCTCGCTGCTTCTCTGTGTGGGGTTCCGATTTCTGTTCTTCTCCAGTGATGGTCCCAGGGGCCTTCGCTCCTAGACTGAAAGGTTAATCACATCCCTCCTTGCTAT